ATCTCTGAAGAGCAGGGGGTCATTAAATATAGCGGAGAGTATTTATCAATAAGCACGAAATATAAAGGTTGTGGTTTGCTTGGAATAAGTTAATTTTTAAAATACGTTTTTAAAACGTCTTCTTTACTTGGTTCCTGGTCTCAGGGAGAACGAAAAGATGCCTGGATCACTCATATCTTGACTCATTAAATTACAGAACTTGACTTACAAAATTCAAAGCTTTTCATCGAACTTAAGCAGAGAAGATATCGCTCACACGATAGAGAAAGCGCTGCAGATGTGGTCCAACGTTAGCCAGTTGACATTCACTCGAGTCACAACACCGGGTGTCAAAGCTGACTTAAACATCAGGTTCGTCTCTGGTTACCATGGTGATGACCATCCAACAGACGGGCCTGGAAGAGAGTTAGCGCATTCGTTCTACCCGTCAGACAACAGGGGACTCGCCGGTGAAGTGCATTTTGACGACGATGAAACCTTTTCCATTAATGGCGGGTTTGGTGTGGATTTTCTTTGGCTGGCCGTGCATGAACTGGGGCACAGTCTCGGTCTTGAAGACTCTAATAATCATAACTCCGTCATGTATCAGTTTTATACGGGATATAGGCCGAATTTGCGGCTGAGCCGTGACGATATAAAAGGCATACAACAGCTTTATGGTAAGCTGTATTAAATACAGTGTAATGTTGATCGACACACGACGCCTAGATTTGCTTTCAGTCTCACAGAGGTCAAGCCACTAGCCAGCTGTATGCAGAGCTCACAACTTCGAGCGCACTAGGAATATGCAACTGGGGCAATTCCAAGACCTGGAACCAAAAAGAGATATTTAGACTCTTTAAGTTGTCTCAGTGTAGCGAGCACTGATATTTCATTTTAACTCCTTTAGTAGCAATCTGTAGTTTATTACCCTTCGGAAATATTACTCTTAAGATTTTTTTACTAATAATATAACAAAGCAGAATAACAATTGTCAACATGTGTGGCCAGACCAACGACTACAACTTTAATTTGCACGCTTTTGTGAACAGAATTGTCATATAAACAACATTGCAGAGACAAAGGAGTAAAGCAAAGAGGATATGCCTGGTTTGCAGCGCGTTACAGATAGGAACTGCCTCACTGTTACTTATTCTACTAATACGTTGCCCCCATTTTAGTAGTCAATCGAACTGTATGCGGTTTGTTGATTAGTGCATGGAAAAGACGTAACAGCGCTTATGTACATTCTCTCTTTTGTTCCTCTGTCAGGTGCTAAAGCCGATCCTGCTACGACAAGGAGCAAAGTAGGAGTGAGGAAAGGGGTTCCCTAAAAATGTTTTCCAGGAATTGGTTAGGCTGCTCTGCAAAGAATCTCGGAGAACACTGAAATCACGAGTCGTGAAGCTAAGCGCATTGACCTTTTATAAACAGATAACCAGTCAACAAAAACAACAACAAACCGGGTTTGGGTACTTTTACTTTTTCACACTGAAATACGGTATATACATCTCTTTGTCCAGTTCTACTGCTACATCAGAATTTATCTGTGTAGTTACATAACTTACAGCCATAATTTCGCACTAATTGCTATTCCCGAAGAAGTAAAAGCTCTTCCTGGGCATATGTCCAACTCGGAAGGACCTTAGTACCAAGAATAATTTCTACAGAAGAGCTCTCGTTATTTGTCGTAGTTAAAATAAAGCGGAATTAATATTAAAGATTTATAATATTTGCTCGGGTAAAACTGTTTCTCTATCTTACAAGCTATATACAATTTGATATCATAATTTATTGGTGTGCTTTTACTGTTTGTTCTCTGATGAGAATGTCCCATGAGTTCTTATGTTTCTTCTCAAAAAACATTGACACGTGGCATGTGGATTTCTTGTTCTCACAAGAAGAGTTAAAATGTCCGGCTTTCTCCTTTCTCGACCAAGCAGGTGTGACTTTCAGAAACAAAGGCAAAGGAAGTTGAATTAAATATAAAATCTTAAATATGCCAACACGCTTCCAAATAACACGAGACAACTCGGAAGATTGGTTAAAGAGGACGATTTCCCAGGGGAAATCTTTCCCTTCTTTAGTCCCTCCTGACTGCATCCCATCCAATACGTAGAAATATCCTTGGGGTAACCAGAAGCCACTCGGGGTCTCCCACGACGCCTGAGAGCGTAATACTGCTGTCCTTTCAAGAAATACGTCTTTCCGTTTTTCCATTGCAGAGCAGCGTTCAAATCATCAGGTACATTCAACCAAGCTGCGCTGATTTTCTTAGGGTATCCAGGGTCAACTTTTTTGCGATACCAACTCCCGTAACGCCAGTATCTGTCTCCCTTGAAGAAATATGTGCGCCCGTTCCCAGGCCACTCCACGGCCGCGTCCATACCAATGAGGTCGTCGGGAAGGTTCAGATAGCTGATGTGGGTGGGACCTTTCAATTTGCGCATGTTTCTGAAGATCCAAAAACTGTGGAAAGAAAATAATTGTTAGAATCGAAAAAATATATTACTGTTGTTGACAATTATGGCTCGTTGGCTCAACCTAATTCCCAAATACGGAACTATTCAACAATTACACTATATGAGCTGGAGATTTCTATAGCTAATTGACGAGGTTGCAGCTCGAGTCAACTATCCCTCATAAGAATCGAGATCGAATGACCTAATTGTTTTAGTATAGATTTACTGGTCGTTCAAAACTATATCTAAATCTTCTTCACAGACACGTCGAAAACGCAAAGAAGCGGCCACCAGTTTGCTAACAGCCACACACTGCTAAGTTACTCAATAGCAGAATAGTTAGTGAGTAGCGTAGCCAATCAGAAAAAGGCACTCGTCATAGAAAGCTAGTAGAGTTGTACTAAAAAATTAGTCCAATCTCTGCCCGATTGAAGTTGATTTAGGCTAATCAATTCGAGGCCAGGATTAAAATTAAAATGTTTCCATCGCTATCGTTTTGAGAAGTTTGAATTAGGACAAGGTGGAAACTGAGGGACAAAAAAATTAACATGAAACCCCACCGAAAAGTTACAAAACTGAGATCAAATCCATTGAACTAAGTTGAAGAAAACTGTTAACAATCCAGGAGAAAAGTGCCGATTGGCAAGTATAAAATAACGCAATGTACAGAGTTGTGAAGAGATCATGCTGTGACTGGTATTTGTGTATGTGTTAAGGCAGCTACCTCCCGGTTTGTCGTTTGTAATCCGTGTTAATCCCCTCATTCCTTTGCCATCCTTGTTCCTTTAGGGTTTATTATTATCTCTTTGATGTTTTTCTATCTTAGTAAACTACTATTTACAGGTTTCCTACAATTTAAAGGTAGTTTTGTACACGACCTGAATATCTCGTAATACCGTAACTGAGCTTCCGACCGAGGTTTTGTTTCGAAACAAGACTGTGCTAGTTAGTTTGGTTGGGTCCACAGTAACATAAACATGTATAATCAAACTGATTGTTCATAGACTTACTTGCTGCCCTTGAAAAAGTACGTCATTCCATCGGACCCTCTGGTTACTGCAGCGTCAATGTCATCTTCCAGTCCCTTCCAGTGGTCCTTAATTTTCATCACTTTCCCAGCCCCTTCGTCGCCGATCTCCGTGAAGAAAGCGCCACTAAAGGCGTAAGTTTTCTTGTCCTTAGTCATCACCATGGCGTCCACTTTCTGCAGCTGACATATATCGGGCACCCCAGGGGCGGGTGTGGGTCTTGTGTGCGGTGTTGGTGTAGCGAGCTCGATGAGTGGTTTACCTGTGAAAAGACAGACACACCAATATTCATCAAAAAGCATATGCCTAAACAAATGGTCAGTTCTACATTATAGCACAGTTTGGCAAACCATTATAGCGAGTCTGCTACATGTACTTGTATACTAGTCTTAAAATTAGTTTGAGTTTTAAATCATAGATTCAAATACACAAGAAATACTAAGACGAGTTAAAGAGTTAATTTTCGACAGTTACTAGCCTGCGAGCAGGCTCACCTTTGAGTCACAGGCGCGAGCGGCGAAGAGCAAAGCGATCCGAATGGAAGGAGTCTGGTAAAGAGGCGCCAATTTCGCGCGTGCGCTTGTGCTCCAACGTGAGCATGCTCGCGGGCTACACAGTTACCGGTCATTTAGCCTCCAAGGCGATTAGACCCTGGCCGGTTAGTTCTCAACCAGAAGTCGACTAATCGACTCAGTTCTGGTTGGGGGCTAACTGGCTAGGGGCTAAACGACTTGGGACCTAATTAACGACCGGTTATCATTTCGACGAGATCGACGTGGTTTCCAGATTGATAGATATTTGAATTGAAAACTATCGCCACATAGCTTCTTTAATGCTCTTCAAAAGAAGTCTGCGTTTATGAAATCTTACCATAGAGTTGTTGAATGCCGTCCACGTCATCTTTATTAAGTGTTAGCCCGGGGATATATCCAAGATAAAATGGAAACATCACGGAGTCTGGGTTCCAGGAATGGTCTAGTCCCAAGCTATGTCCGAGTTCATGGAGAGAAAGCCAATTGAGATCTACCTTGACATGGCTGCCATTTATGTCAAAATCTTCATCGTTATCGAAGTGCAAATCGCCGGCAAGGCCTACATCAAGGTAAAAAATATACGGTTTATTATAATGAAGATTTTATCTTCGATATGATCAAAGTATTATTTATCATTAAAATATTGATGTGTGGTCACGAAAATAGAGAGAAGAAGATCATCAAGTAGGAAGAACTTGTATTTTGATTTTGTTAACTCCCCGAGTTTCCCTTCTCAGGGGTCGAGCTAGGTGTCTCCCGCTGAGCACTACAAAGTCGCTAGGCTGGTAGAGAAATTGTGTCTGATAAAGAGCCAAAAACAAACTATTTCCTCAGCTTGCGGGTAAAACAAGCTCCCGCGGGCAAGTAAGCCCTGTTTAATCCCACTTTACTTAACGAAACACACCTTTGTTATCAAGCGGAAAGAATGCATGAGCCAACTCTTTCCCAGGGCCGTCCGCTGGCCTGCTGTCTCCATGGTAACCAGACACGAACTTGATCAAGATATCGGCTTCTGTGTTGGAGTCAGTGACGCGCTCGAACTTAATTTGACTCGCCGCTGACCACATATCCAGAGATTTCTTGATCGTGTCGTCGACGTCTTTCGTTGAAAGCTTTCGTGGGTAGTTGACGATTTTGTATGTCAGGTCCTGGTAATGTAAAAAAAATGCAATTAAGAGAGAGTTAGCTTTAAAAAGGTTCACTGGGTACGGTGTATGAGGAAGCCTGGCGTAAGTATAATACATGTTTTCGTATTGAACATCTGTTTTATTTTTCGGACAGAAGGATTTATTCCAGACACAAGGACGAGCTATTTACTCGGATCTGATTGGTTCAGTTAAAAAACAGAAATGAATGGTACTTGCTGAAAGCCGAAACATACAAAAGGAGTTCTAATACAAACATCACTCTCTTCTGTTAACGAGCTGCAAAACCACTCCTTTAAATTAGGCACCGTCTACACTACGCGGGAGAAATTTGAAAAGGTAGCTTCACTGCTTATACATACGGTTAGGCCTCCGTCCACACTAATCCGTCACGAAAACGCCGGCTTTTCGTTTTCGTGTACACAAAAAACGTTTTGATAACGGAGCTTTTCGGAAACGATGACGTCACGATCATCACGTGATTTCACCGACCAAGTTTCCTCAAACACAAGTCCAAAATGACCGGTGATTGTTTCGTTTTTAAATTCCTCTGGCGTAGTGTGCAACGAAAACATTTGACGCGTTTTCAGAGTGAAAAAGCCTTTTTTAAATTGCTTTGCCTTAGAGTGGACGAGGCCTTTGTCTGCAAGCCGCGAGGCCTATAATACCGGTGCTTTGTTCTAGTTTTTCTAACTCACATGAAGCGCTAAGGACAGGCGTGGACTAAAGAAAACTTATATTCTCCTTGAACGGGATGTTAATTTACTTCGACAGCTCACCGTTTTGTTCCACACAGTTCCGTGGACTGCATATCTTCGTTTTCTCCTGGCACTATCCCCTGGCCCAAAATCCGGTACCGCACATCGCTTAGCGTCGACAAGAGCCACAGTGTCAGGATCTTGAAGACTTCCAGTCTCCTTGAAACCTCGCACGTGCTGCAGGCTTTTCACGGCAAGTGTGACGTCGTCACCGCTGAGCATTGCTCCTATTCGGAGATCGGGTTGATGAAGGTATCCATATCTTGTCATGTAGTCCTGGTATATGGTCAGGGCAAAAAGTAAAACGTAGTCTTTTAATTTAGACACACACAGACAGTCAGATAAAAAAAAGATCAAGAACAACTTCCTACTAATCTCAATAATGATTTTTCTTGGTTCACACTAGCGAAGGTGTAGATGATACAAAGTAAGTGAGAAATACAGTGTAAGGGAAATAAACCGAATTGACGACAAATCATCGCTGTAAAAATGTGTAAATTCTGTTAAATGTTGAGTTTTTTATGTCACTACACAAACTGAATTAGTTCACTGATGTCCACTGTAAGATGAAACTATGCTAGAAAGTACTCAAGCGCGATGTTAAGTTATACATTTATACATTTCCCCCAAACTTTAGAAAGAAAGGTTCAGTAAGCCCGTGTAGCGTACGCGCGCCATGTTGGCTCCCGCAAAGGTTCCTAACGTCTCCTACAGATAAATCTTACGTATAGCGGAAATTGAACCTTAATTTAATACAAACAGCTGAAAGGCGATGCACACCGAGCTGAATGTGCTTTACATCAAAATATGTTACCAGCAGGAATTTCACTACTGCTGATTACCCATGTGTGATATGGTGTGATATCATAACAAGAGCTTTTCTCGGGAAGTGGAAAATAATCAATCGTATTCTATCTTCAATATTTCTTTTGTGTTACTATAAATGTGGTTTCCGCCTCTACAAAGCGAAACAATTGCTTAGCTTACAATACGACAGTATTTTATCGGTATTTTTCTCTGTACATGATACCCTTATAGCAGTCATAATTTAATCTCTAAACAAGTTTTGCGTTTGAATCGTCCGCCGCGAAATAGCCGACATATTTTCGCCACGGTTGTCCGCATTGGAATAATTGCGATAAAATTTCTTCTTTGAGTTGTACAGGGACGGGAGGATATCTCTATTGAAAATTGTCGTTTCCAAGAAGGGTGCTAGGTTGAGAGAATCGTAACATGGCCATCAGGGTTACAATTGAATTACTTTCAAGAAAGTTAATTAATGTTGCGTAACAACTTGATGAATTATTATTCGCATGTCCCGCGCGCTTATCTCATACCATCACAGTAGTACTGTAGGTATTCTTTAAAAGCAGACGATCCAGCGTTAGGTTTATGAACATATAGCAGCGTAATGGTCAAGAGACTCACGTGGCTAAGTTTTTAAATAATACAGCCAAGATACAGCATCACCAATGACTAAACTTACCATAAGCTCCGCTTGTTTTCTTGGACTTACGATTGCTCTTCCACGCACCAGCGCACTAAGGGAGCAAAGCAACAAGACCGTCTGCACATGCATAACCATTGGATAAATATTCAGGTTAAGATAACTTTAACTTCGCTGCTTTCTAAGACGACCCAAAGTGTGACTTTGACTTGACAGAGCTTGGAGTATATATATGTAACAAACGACCCACACACAACAACTAAAACAGTTCCTGTTGTATCGTCGGCGTGATGTTTACGTCACTCAAGGTGTGTCAGTGACTCTGACAACAGATGCAGCACGAGCGGAAGTGAGTTTCAGAGGGGTGTCGATGCGAGGTCAATTATTTTATTTTTAATAACAAACCACGACGCGGTGCAAATTTGTCGATTTCCCCGTGCCAGTATCAAAGTTTGTTCTTTATTTTACTCAGAAATTTCAATAGAATCGCGTTTTAACATAGCAGCGAGCCTAACGTGTTTTTTTTGTTGTTGTTGCGGTTTTCACGGCAACGGATCTGTGATGATTATTTTGCGGACGATTAGTTATTCATTATGATAAGGCCAGAGATAAAAGCCATTAGTCTGAAGTTTAAAATGCCATATTAGGAATCGATTTGAGACGGTGACGTCGTTAACCCAACCATTCAGTGTAAATTTATGTATGTGTACTGCTTTCGCAATTCGGGTTGACGCATGTCTCTCTTTATTTCGGGACAACCTTGTGCGATCGATTTCCGACTTTTCAAAATTAATTACGTGATTAACGCGCTGCGTTTAGTTTCGCGGAAAACAACCACTTTAAATAGTGGCCTTTCTTTCAAGTCAAGCTGATATCTCACTTATTACTGTACGATACAAGACAAGGGAACAGATTGACCGTAACAATATTCAGCAATATTTGAGCTACGGGATCTGGTATTGACGGTGTTGTGTTTGTTTGGATTGCGCGAATTTTGTTTTCATAATTATTGGACTATCAAAGGTCAAGTCAGTTTAGCCTTTGTTTATATAACTTTTGGGATGGTCTCAAGTAGACATACTGTATGCCCTGAATCCGCTGAAACCGCCTTACTCATAAGCTGATTTCTTAGCATTAAACTTAAAGCGGGTTTACGATAACTTGGGTAACATTTCTCAAGTTACATGTATCGAACGCGAGACACCCTCATCTAGTTTTTATCACCCAACTAATATTCAATATTATAACTAATACTAGTTAATAATTATGATTTATACTGGTAGGCTCCCCCCTGTCAAAAGCTGGGAAAAGAGTGGAACCTACTAGATATTCCCTGGTCTAAATTGCCGGTCCATAAATGGTAGCCTGATATGGGGCCCACGTCACTTTTCAACTTGTGCCCTTGAGCAACCCTTTGATAAAACACCCTCCTCGCATCCCCCGCCTACGTTTCCAGGAGATCTGGGGTGGACCAGGGACAGTCCCGTAGAAAAGCTACTTTTTTATAGAATGGGCTTCCCATTGTTTTACGCAGTTCTGATCTATTTCCTGTGTATAGTAAATACTGTGCAACAATTGCAAGTAACTTAGGGGGCGCAAGCTCTCTTTGTTAAATCTATAAGCTTCAAAAAAGTCGATAAAATTTTGTGGTTTCTGCGACTCGGTTATCATTGTCAGCTAGCCTGCAAGCACGCTCTTGAAAGTTACTGGAATAGTGTTCGCAGGGTGTCATCGTGTTTTTATACGCTGTCCAGCCGGTGATTTTCCGGTCCTCTCTCAAGCTAATCTTGCAGGACAGGTCTTATTCTGACATTGCGTTTTAAAACTTGTGCCTCC